GCGGCTATTACATTTGATGCGGCTGTCACACAATACGACAGAAGAACAATACGATAATTGAACAGCCCTAGGTATCAGTACAATACTAAGTGTATTTGATGCCCATATCAGTTAGTCCGCCAAGTATGGATATCAAAATACCATTATTTCATTATATATACTTGATCTTGTGCTACGGCATTTTATAAATCATTCAACATTCACTTCATCCTTCAACCCACTTTCCAGTCCACTCTCATAAACCGTCCATCGTTTCTTATCATCTGTATTAATTATATTACAATCCGATGGACCACAAACGAACCAAGTCAGTAAAATCAGCATCATCGACTAATAACCACACTAGAGAGTCGCAGGTTTGCTCTCTATTATCGACTAGTGAAACCCTGGTAGACTCGCGGGTAGAATCAAAGGATGTAACAAATTATACAGATGATAATAATAATAATGAACCCCCTCAATTGAAGACCATCGATGACCAGCCAGTCTATTTACGCAAAAAATCAATATACAAACCAGTACAACATGCCCCGCTGACAGCAACAAGAACTTCCATATTTCACATATTTAGATTTGCAACTTTATTTGATTATTTACTCATGACATTTGCCATCTTCTGTAGTCTATCTAATGGCCTCGCCCTCCCTCTAATGACATATTTGCTTGGTAATTTATTTAATGTATTCACAGATCGACAAACCGGAACAATAACAGACACTGTTTTTAGGAACAAAGTAGACATTCTATTATACTATTTCTTAGAATTAGCTATAGGAACAGTAATCCTGTCATATGGAATGATTTTTATATGGGGTTGGACTGCTGAAAGACAGACAAAGAGAATGCGGGCTATCTATTTCAAATCCTTGCTCAGAATGGAGATATCACACTACGAGAGAGAAGAAGTAACATCAGGTGGACTACTCGTCTCGCTCAACAAAGACGCTGATGACGTTCATGTAGCTATATCTGAGAATATGGGCTTTTTGCTACAAGATGTAGCTACCGTATTAGGATGTATTGTACTCGCATTCACAAAGCATGCTATACTCACTCTCGTAGTATTATCGGGGATGCCGGTGATAACAGCTGTCCTCGCATTAAGTAGTAAAGCAGCATTCCCAGGCGTAGTCGAGGAGAGAAACGTATTCCTCAGAGCAGGTAGTATATTAGAGAATGCGCTCTCGGCAATAAAAACTGTGCGTGCTTTCAATGGAGAATCAAAGGAAGAAATGAAACACAATCAATGTCTAAAGGATGCCAATTCGGTCACTAGACGGTTGACTCGTATATACGGAATACGCAATGGTCTTTTACAGTTTCTGTTATTATCGTTATTTGTGCAGGGATTTTGGTACGGATCTATCCTGGTCGCCGATCACAAGCTATCTCCTGGTGGCGTATTGAGTGTATTTTATGCATGTTTACAAGCAGCAAGTGCCATGAGAGAACTAATGCCGCGGTTAGGCGTATTTGATAAAGCAAAGAATGCTGTCAGAGCTATTAATACACTGCTTGAAAAAGTAGCTCTATTGGATCTGGAAGCGCTGAGGGGGTTCAAATTATCGCATTGTGATGGCAACATCGAGTTCGCACAAGTCAGTTTCGCATATCCAAGTCGTCCGGATACGCTTGTATTGCGAAATATAGACTTGCACATACCGGCTGGTAGAACAACAGTACTGGTTGGGCAGAGTGGATCTGGCAAGTCTACAATAGCTCAACTGATTCAACGTTTGTATGATCCTCAGGAAGGACTTATTACCATAGATAGTAGGGACATCAGAATACTAAATTTATCATGGCTTAGGCAGCAAATAGGAGTGGTCAGTCAGGAGCCTGTTCTTTTTGATGATACAATCTTCATGAATGTGGCATACGGAAAGAGTGATTATTGGAACGTAACCATGGATGATGTGGTAGCCGCTTGTAAATTGGCTTGTATACATGACATGATAAAGGAGCTACCAAATGGTTATGATACTCGACTCGGAGATAGAGGTCAAGCTCTCTCTGGTGGACAAAAACAGAGATTGGCTATAGCACGTGCATTAATTAAAAATCCACAAATACTCATTCTCGATGAGGCGTCGAGCGCACTAGACACAACTTCTGACAAATTGGTACAGAAAGCCCTGGAAAACTCACGCAAAGGACGTACCACCATTGTTGTTACTCATAAGCTCAGTCAAATTCATCCACATAACCTTGTATATGTACTGGACCAAGGTGAAATAGTAGAAAAGGGTACTCCAGCTGAACTACTTCTCAATAAGGACAGCCATTACACTCGATTATCAAAGGAACTAACGAACGGCAAAGTTAAAAGACGAACAGCAGAGTTACAAAAGATAGATCTAAGGCTTCGACGAGTTTCCAGTACCCGTCGTGGTAACGATTCTTCAACAGATGGAACGGGATTGTCTCCAAAATCTCGACTTCATCTATACGAAGACTATTTTGACCAGAATGCCATTGATGTACTCGAAAAAAGCGCATCTAACGCAGTGTCAAGACGTAATAATCGTGCGTCTTACTTTGGTGTTCTCAGTTACTACGATGAAGATGGTGTAAATCTGAACGAAATAATAGTATCTAATGAAGCTAATGCCAATCGTCCGGAGTACCCGACAATGTCGCTCCTCACTTTGATACGTAGCACATTTCAGAATAGGTGTTTATGGATATGTGGTTTATTAGCATCGATTGTCAACGGGTTTGTTATGCCAGCATTCTCATTTGTACTATCGAAATTGCTAGCATCTTATTCTCTGCCTGACAAACAAGAAATAGAATCACGTGCTCGCATGTTCTCGCTCATAATATTATTCCTAGCTGTTACAAACGGTCTGTCAGCATTCTTCAAGTATTATATTTTGGAGCGAACGTCTGAGAAATGGTCAGTACGGCTACGATCACTTGGATTCGCCAGAGTACTTCAACAGCCTCAATCATGGTTCGACAAACCTGAGAATTCGACTGCAAGAGTAGCAACGAAGCTCATCGTTGATACCGAGTCAACCAAAACGCTCGTCGGAAATGTCTCTGGAAATATTATATATATATTAGTATCATTATCTGGGGGTATGATTTGGGCGTTCGCGAAAGGATGGCAATTGGCACTGGTTGGGTTTAGTTTTGTTCCTATTATAATGACTACGACCCAGTTACAAGGGTATACATTGGAAAAATACGAAAAGAAAAGAAAGTCATCTGATGAAGACGCAGCAAACGCATTTTATCAGGCTATTGCAAGTCTTAGGACGGTGTTCTCACTTGGTATTGAGAGCGCAATGTTAAAGAAATATGATGATGCATTACAAAAGCCTTACAAAGTTGGTATTCGTAAAGCAGCACTTAACGGATTTTTCTATGCAATGATGGAAGGTCTACAATATGTTACCAAAGGTGAGTAGGAAAGAGATTATAATGAACTGAATAAGAGTTTGTACATTTTAATTTACGTTGACCAATTGCTTTATGTATTATTAACGTTCTAGGTGTTACATTCTGGTACGGAGCCCTCCTCATTATTCGAGGTGACTACGATCTAGAGAAAATGCTTATCGTATGGACGCTTGTTATCTTTTGTACCAACGCTGCCAATCAAATGCTCCAAACAAGTAAGCACACAGAATTAAGTTATTACAATCCAAAATTTACGATGTATAATATTAAGATCACTAATATTAATATACTGTATACTTTCAGTCCCTTACCTTACAAAAAGCAAAACAGCAGCTCGTTCGGTCGCTCAACTCCTCAGCCTCCCATTGCCGTCAACATCAGGTTCACGTTTAAATAGAGTCCAAGGAGAAATAACATTTAAACACGTATTCTTCTCATACCCAGATCGCCAAGACGCATTGGTTCTTAAAGACATGAGCTTCAGCATGCAACCGGGGCAAACCGTCGCATTAGTAGGCAAAAGTGGCCACGGCAAGTCAACCGTTGCTTCTTTACTCCAGCGGTTCTATGAACCGAACGGAGGATCTATACTTATTGACTATGTAAATGTTGACGAACTGGACTTACATTGGCTTCGTGAACAGATTGGTATTGTTAGTCAAGAACCGGTTTTGTTTGATGCTACTATTGCTGAAAATATCGCTTATGGTAAAGATGATGCCACGAAAGATGAGATCGAGACAGCAGCAATGCAGGTTAATATGCATGAGTTTATTTGCTCCTTAACGAATGGATACGATACAAGATTAGGGCCCGGTGGATCGCAGCTATCTGGTGGACAAAAACAGCGGTTAGCTATTGCGAGAGTACTTTTGCGTAATCCAAAGATTCTCATTCTCGATGAAGCTACAAGTGCGTTGGATGCTACGAACCGAGCACTTATTCAGGATACTTTGACTCATGTGCAGAAGGGACGCACTACTTTGATCATAACTCACCATCTAAACGCTGTCGAGAATGCTGATAAAATATTGGTAGTAGAAAATGGCCGAATAGCTGAAGTAGGAACACATGAGGAACTATTGGCCAAGAAGGGCTCGTTTTATAAGCTGGTCACAAACGAAGAATCAGAAGAGTGAAAAAACGAACGAAATCTTTTTTATGATTTTATGAAATTTTTCGGGAGGGGTTGACAGAACATTTATAATACTCAGTACGCCACCATTTAAATAATATTAATCAATGTATTGAAAGGACTTTGTAAAAATATCAGCAAATGTGTTATTAGTATTATTATGACAAAGCGGAAAGGACTTTTATTTTAATTAGTGAAGAACCAAGCAAGAAATGTTTGGCATTGGGATATGTATTTGTATTAAAATTTGTATTTAAATAGCTTTGACCTGGCGAGGATAAATAGCTTTGACCTTTTTTACCAGCATCTATCTACACATGTCCAGAGTGGATGGAATTTTAGCAATAAAATAAGGAGTTTGGGCGTTCATGTAAATCGAATTGATGATCAGTATTTGTGAACATTTAATTTAAAGCGAGTTTTATTATTACACGAAAATAATCCAATCTCGCAATATTTATTTTTTAGGAATAGTGATGATTGTAGTGTCGTCGTTTTCGAATTTTTTCCCCAACTTATTTGTATTATATTGTGGAGGAATAACGACAGAATGAGAAAACTTCTTAATCTCGTTCGATTCAACGGTGATGTTGGGTCCACCAGAAAGAGTACTTAATTCGACGTCGGCCGATATATGGAGGTTGTTGCCTTCCACTCTGGTCTAAATGAGGGAATTTTGTAAGATGTTGTTATTATCATACTATTGAAGAAAGTTGGAGCACATCTTTTTTACCTTAATAGCCTCTTCGGGAACTCCGGGAAGCTTGACAATAGCCTTCCATTCGTTCTCGTCATGTTTTCTGTGAATATGGCAAAGACAGTCTGTATTTAACATTCGTATAACATCCACACTA